AAACTAGAGTGATCCTCAACATTTTCCCTGAGGCATCAGAGTAACCCTACGATTTGTTTTTTTTTTTACTCTGGGTAGCCAGGGTGGTATTTTTTCCGGCTCTGGTGAGACTGCTAGTTGCAGTGTTAACTAATGACAGCAACATTTTTCTTGGCAATAAAGCATAGCACAATATTATATGATTAACTCATCATCATCATCCTCCTTGTCATCCTCACTCCCACCTCCGACACTATCATCGTCTGAGCTCTCTGCGACATCCTTCTGCTGTGGGAAGAGGGGAATTTCCTGCTCAAATTCAACATTCCTAGCTTGCCTACGGTGCCTAATGCGCCCCCACTTCTCCACGATCTGGGGGTAGTCCATGTCGTAGTCCAGCATGCTGATGGTCATCAAGTCACCAAGGGTGGCATCGCACAGGCTTGTGCGATGCCATCCCTTGATAACATTCTGCCGTGAGAATCCGCGCTCGCACTCGACGGTGCTCAAGGGCAACACCGCTAGCGCCTGCCACATCCGCATCAGGTTCGGGTAGGATTTGGACCAGCCCTTCGTCTTCATCATATTGGCCAAGCCCTGGGCGAAGTCGTCGTCCTTGCGATGAGTCTTCATGATGTGGCAAAAGGTCTTCAGCTCCAGCTCCATCGCTCGCAGTTCGACTCCTGTTGGCGGGGAGGGAGGGGGGGGGGTAGGGGCGTCCATGGCATGAAAAGGAGAGGTGTTGAAGTAACAGAGTAGGCACCGCATTTAACAAGATTCAAGACATACGACACAACTTCTTTTAGAGCCACTGACCTGGCAGCTTGTTGTCAAACAGCGCCATGTTCTGCTCAGCCCACTTGCGGCACCGGCGCTCCCGCACCTCTGTCTTCTTGGGCCACTGGTCCACCTTGTAGAGCTTCGAACCCTCCATCCGCTTCATGTCCCACAGCCGCCCCTCCAAGCACCCCACTGTCTCCTTGGCGAACGCCGTGCAAAGGTCTTCGCGGTCGAAAGGAGTGCTGCCAAACGCATGTCCTGGGATGCGCGACAAGGTGAGCTCGAACTTGTGCGTGCAGGGAGAGCCATCCGCAGCGATGCCGTGCACCTCGAGCGAACCCTTGCCCTCCTTGTAGCGGGCGAGGAACTTGTCGAGCTGCTTGCTCAGCCCGCCGCCGAACCGCTCCCCGTACTCGATGTATCGGTGCTTGATGTAGGTGACAGTGCGGTCAACCTCTTGGGTGACGAGCGTGATGTCCACCTGAAGGTCGGGGCGGGAGGGCAAGGGCAAAGGGCACGGATGTTAAAACAAATTTTCCGCCAGACACATGCCCAGATTATTAATCAACTCAACGAGCTGCGACAGGAACGAGAACGATTCAACTTACCGTGCGGCGCTGGAAAAACCTGTTCAGAGTGTTGAGCTCAGCGAGGATGTTGGCGAGGAAGTTGAGGCAGAAGTGAAACTTGTAGGACTTCAGCAGCGCGGCGTGCTTGTGCTTGTACTCGATGAAGACGACGATGACTGCACCGAGAATCCTGCAGAGTCGCCGCACAGCGTCGCCACGTGCAAGCCACCTTATGGCGTAGAGCCCCTGATGTTCGAGGTTCGTGTCGTGGATGACAAGCTGCAGAGCCTTGAACCTCTCATACCACGGAGTCGAGCGACCGACGATTTCCCCGAAAGCTCGGATGATCACGTCGACGATGAACAGGTCAGGGAAGGAGTTGGAGGCGTCTTTGACCGCCAGCGCTTCTCTGCGGTGGCACCAAGGCACAAGTGCGGTAAGAAACATGCATGGATAATCTTAGTGACATGGACAGGAGGGTACTACGACGGCAATCTTACCGATGTGCGATGCAATGGCAACCGACAAGGTGCGGGATACGCAGTCGGAGACGAGCGACAAGCCCGTTCTTCTCACCGGTCATCACCGACGCCCCATCGGTGCTAATACCGGCGATCTTTTGAAGCTCAATGCCACTCCCCTCTAGGTGACCCAGCAGGACAAACTGGAGCGACGCGGCATCACACTTGTCGATAGTGAGCAGGCTCAAGAACTCAGTGACAACACGCCGCTTCTTTAAGAAGGTGCCGAAAACGATGAGGTGCTTTCCGCGGGTGCGGTCGGTACTCTCGTCGCAGCTGATGCCGATGAACGGAGAGGAGTGGATGTGCTCCATCTGCTGTACCTTCAAGAAAGCCACCATGGCTTTCACCATCTCCCTGAATCCATACCTGCGACAAACACCATACAATAAGACTTCAGTCCCGTATTCCATAGATTACACAAATATGAAAACAACGAACTTACTTCGTGATGTACGCCCCGTAAGTCTGCTTGGGTATGTCCTTCACCCCCTCCTGCGACAGGTGACCGATTAGACGTGTGAACATTGAAATCGGGGCATCTTCCTTACAGATGAATAGCATGGAGCGTAGAAGTCTGATGACGCGGGCGGCATCGGGGTCGTTCTTGGCGAAGTCGTCCATGCGCTTCTGGTTCTCGATTTCCTTGTCAAGGTGAGCTTGCTTCTGCACGCAGGCCTCATGCTTGGTGCTCTCCTCGTGCCACCGCATGCTGCCAATCTGTAAGTCCCTGCCGCCAGGCCCATCGCGACCGTAGCGGGCTGTCAGCTTGCCATGCTGCATGCACACACTGCAACGTAAACATGGTGAGCCATCATCAGTTTTATCCAAGACGAGCCAAGGAAACCTTCCATGCCAATCTGAGGTATATTTCTTCTGAGCAGCAAGATAAGATTTGACCTTCATTTCGGCCGATGTTGGTGCGAGGGGTCGCTCTACTTCAACGACGGGGGCAGGGGTTGTTGGCGGCGTTATCTTGGGAGGAGGCGCGAAGGGCAGATGCCTCTGCTGGTACCGTCGTCTCTTCTTAGCCGACGATGTTGATGCAGATGCCGGCGGCGAGGGCATGGGATCCGGAGGTGGAGGATCTGTCGGCTTGTCAATCGACAGATTCGCCTCCTCCATTTCACGCTCCCATTCATCGCTGCTTAGACTCGGGAGTGGCAGAGGCTCTACTAGGGGAGCGGTAAGTCGACGCTTCGGGAGCGGAGGAGGGTCTACTGGGGAGGCGTTCGTGTGACGCAAAAAGTCTAAACCGCTGAGTGGGGTCGAGCTACGTGGGGGTGGGACGTCATCCTCATCCTCCCCGCCATCGTCGGCATCGCCCAGGCCAGCCATAGCTGGCGAGGCGGGACGACGAGAGGATTCGAGGCTGGCGGAATAGATCACGTTCGAGGAGATGTGAGAGAGGATTGCTAAACCGGTACACTAGCGGCTACTGCCGATATAAGACAGGGGGAGAAGAACAGGGTGAAGAAGACGAGGCTTTTCTCGCCTGTTCTTGATGCCCGTGGCGCCATCGACATGAAGGTTGGGTGCCTTCCTGAGCCATCCTGAATGTTCGAGAAGGGCATATGCTCGCGCGTGCGGGGAAAGATTCCCGCAGTGTTGCATGCCTGTCGATATGCGTGGCTGCAAAAAATGACGAAGGGGCCAATCAGAGGCACATACACGAACAGCGAGTACAAGTGTGGCAGCAGTCGACGTGGTAAACTTGGGTGTGGCGCCGAAACCTGCGTAAAAAATACACAAGTGTCCAATAGGAGAGAAGGGTATCTGCCAGCAAGGGTGGGTCTGGCAACATATTACGTGAGCCAGCTCGGCGGTCTGCGTGAACAAGGCGAGCATATGGAGGCATGCATGTGGACAGGGGGGTACAGGAAAATACGGGGGTATCTCCCTTACAGTAAACCCCTCAGGGTGGTACAAAAGAAAACCCTGGCTTATCAGAGAAAACATATAATCTACAAATTTTACCCAGAGGCGTAAGGGTGGTACACAAAATCGACTTCGAAAATAAGATAATCAGAGTAATTTACTCGTGAAAAATAGGGACTGGCGCGTACGCTCTCGACTCTCGAAAGTCCAGGCTCGGCCAACTTCTTCAGTCTCGAACCACTTCGCGAACCCAAACCTAGACGGGCGGCGCTTCCGTAGTTTTCTCCAACCGGTCCACTCCAACCTGGCTGCGTGGTTCTCGGCTAGCTCTGTTCGTGCCTATAAATGCATAGGCCCTCATTTGTATCGACAGTCTTGAATCACGACTCCTTTATTACACTGCATGTCATTACTCTGATTAATTCAGAACACAGGTGTTATTCATAACACTCGTTGTTTAGAATTTAGGTGCGGAATCCAGGGCGGGCGGCTCGGTTGACGTTCATTGAAAGGTGTTTCCCCACAAGTGTTCACGTGGAAGTCTAGATCGGAACTAGTGGCGGCAAGAGAATCGTGATGAGCTGGACACTTGCGGAGCTGGCAGCTCCATCACCTCACACACACACCAAACCACATGCCAGAACTTGTCGCACAATATCAATCGCAATGAGTATGCTAAATATATCGCACTGTAGCAATCGTCGTCCTTCACAGGGGAATCCGATCATCGGATAAGCCATTTCAAAAGCGATGATATTTGTTGTTTGTTCTAAAGCTTGCATCGAGAGCGTGATTCACCCGCCGTGTTGGTGGGTGTGCTTTCTTATCCACTCCGGCGGACATCTCCACCCCACCAGCACAAGCCCCCCTCCGTCCGTCCGGGAAAGGATGCAGCGTGGCTCTTGGTGGGGAAACAGAAAGGGGGAGTACAGCACTTCCGAACCAGAAAAATAAAGCTGCTAGGTGCAGAAAACAAACCTTCAGCCATCCATGGTTGGTTCCCATTTCATCATTTCGCCTTGCCACCAGCCATTTGTCCGCATCCCTCCCTCCCCTCCACATCCAATTCAGGGCGTGTCAGTGAAGCACGTTTTCGCACAATACCGTACTCAACCGCTCTAAAGTAATCTGTGACCGTTTTGGAACGTAAAGTGTCGTATCGAACCGCAATCGATATACTTCTGTGACATGCCTCCCTCCCCTCCCTCTCCAATCGCCTTCCGAGTGCTTCTGTTCGTTGTTCAGTTCCTTGTTGTGTGTACAGTTCAGTATCAGCCATAAATCGCCACCACCCTTTTGTTTCCTCCGCTTGTTCCTCGTGTGGTTCCCAGAGGGTGCCCAACTTTAGAACACTCTGTTCACGAGTCGCGCTGGATGAATATTGATGGAATTATTGATCGGAGGGGTGCACTTTGGGACAGAATCGGGCTGGGCATTTTGCGGACATCATCTGTAGTTGAGAACTAACACCAAGCATGGCCCTTCCTAGCCATTGGTTGTTCTCCATTCTCGCTGGAGTCACGCTCACGTGTGCTGATAATCATCATACCTACGCAACGCACGCTCATGCTTAGCCATATGCCAGCTGATTTCGGGAGCGAGGAAATCCCGACTGCTAGAACGAGCGGTTACGCATCATCTCGACCACTGCGGTAGGCGTCAAGAAGCCGCTCAGCCGTTCATCCGAATGAAATCGCTGACAATCGCCGCTCAGTCGAATGGCGGATTGAGTTGAGAGAGAGAAAAAGAGAGACTCGCTCCGATTCTCCTCAGCGAAACAATTGCGTAGGTCGGATATTCCAATTTCGTTGCATTCCGCCTCTAAGTTCCGTCGTGTGATCATCATTTTCATAGCGTACTGTACTGCACGGTCCCCCTAGCAGGAAGCGTGCTAGCTGTATTATAGCTGCGGCGACGCGTTAGGCTAAGGACTGAGGTTTAACCGCATTGTAAGGGCGCATTGACTGAAAGAAAGCGACGCATAACCTCAAAGAACCGCTGCGTACACCTCGCAATTCAAAGAGCGCGTTGCTCAAAGCTAGGGACTTAGCAATATTTCCCGCATAACGGCTGAGTGGGAGAACGACCCTCGCCACGACCCCCGGAACGATGTTCAACCGCGGAAGGAAGATCGTGACTAAGGCGGCGGTTGCGGCAGACGCTCAGCTGCATCAGCGGTTCGAGGAGCGGGAGAGAGGGAGGGAGAAGCACGGCCGGCCGACGGAATGGGACTGGCTGACGACCGTCGTGCAACAGAACCGCGTCGCGCAGCGGAAGGTAGGTAATTAATTGTAAGGTCGTGAGGTACGCAGAGATGAGTCTATTCTGAGGTGCGTGAGAAATTACAAATTGCAAGATGTCCAAAGAGCGTGAGGTACGCCGAGAGGAAAGGCGCGGGGAGAAGAAGGACGCGTAGTGAGTGGGCATTGCGCGATAGAGCGAAACGTGAGTGGGTGGGGTGGGTAGCCGCGGCAGAAGGTTACTGCGCATTGCGCGTCGAGGCGGAATGTGAGCGCACAATCTGCGGAATATGCGCCTTGCGCGGCATCCCCTTCCGACATCCTTCCCCCTTCCCCCCCCGCTTTCCTAATGACGGAAATTCCCCCCTCGGCCCCATCCCCTTCCCTTCCCCCCCTCCCCCCCATGGCTTTATCTCGCCCCCCTTCCTCGTTCCGCTCCCCATTGCTGCGCGCAACTCCCCTCAGCTGCAAGCCATTTCGGGGGGAAACGGAGACCTGGGGGAAGGTTGCGGGGAGGAGCAACCCTTCCCGCCCGCGCACGCACCTCCCCCCCAAGCAACAGCAGGCGGAGAAGCGGAGGCGGGGGGGGTGCAGTCGTACACGCAGCACGCTCAACGGCCAGGATTCATTCAATCGCACGGATCTCTTTTGTTCCTGGAAGAGCGGAGCTACAGGATTCTGGGGATAGCGGATAATATCTTCGAGTTTTTCGACGAGCCTGTGGCGTGGGCGGCGCAGGGGGAAGGGGAGGCGGAGGGGGAGGGGGGGAACGAGACTGGGGAAGGGGAGGGGGTAGTGGGAAGGGAGCGAGAAGGGGGGCGGGAAGGTGGGGATGGGGAGAGGAAGGCGGAAAAGGAGAGGGGCGAGGGGAGTGGGGAGAGGGGAAGGGAAGAGGCGGAAGGAGGGGGGGAGGGAGGGAAGATAAGGAGCCTGCTGGGTCAACCCTGTAACTGTTTAATGACTGAACAAGTAAGATTCTGCAGATACGATTCTGCTTCATTCATAGATGAAATTTCTCTCCCCCCTCCTTCCCCCCCCCCATTCCTCTCCGTTTTCTTCTCTTTGATGCACTTTGCACGATCGAAGCAACCCCCCCCTCCCTACCCACTTGCTCGCCTCTCTCCTCCCTCCCCCCCTCTACCTCCCCATAACAGACCTTCGCGTGCTTGGTGGCGGCCTGTGAGAGCTCGGACCCGCAGCTCTCCAACCCCATTCTGGTCAAGACGGTCAGACGAGGTGAGAGGCAGGGAGGGAGGCAGGGAGGGAGGGAGGGAGGGCGGAAGGGAAAGAAGGGTGGGAGTGAGGAGGTGAGCTCAGACCCGCAGCTCTCCAACCCCATGCTGGTGAAGACGGTCAGACGAGGTGAGGCAGGGAAGTGTGGAGAGTGAGAGGGAAGGCGGTGGAAGATGGGAGAGGGCGGGAGGGAAGGGCGGGGAGCGAGTGGGAGGAGAGCTCGGATCTGCACCACAAGTGTGGAACCCCATTCTGATCAAGACTGTGTGGTGAGGCAGGCAGGCAGGCAGGCAGGCAGGGAAGGAGGGAGGGAGGGAAATGGAAAAGCGAGAGAGGGAAGTGGGAGGGGGGATCGGATCCGCACCGCAGCTGTCGAACCCCGTTCTGGTCAAGACGGCCAGACTCCCCATCCCAGGCCGTCCCCTGTACGCCGTAGTGCATCGGCATGGCGAGGGCTTTGTGGTTGATATAGAGCCGTGCACCGGGGGGAGGGGAGGGGGGGGGGAGGGGGGAGGGGAGCGGGGAGGGGGGGGAAGGCCCTGCATCCCCCTGTCCCCCCTCCTTCCCGTCCTTTATTCCTTTCCTTCCGCCTACCTCTCTGTGTCAGGCCATCCCTTGCATGCAATATTGGATCGCAACGGGGAGGGCTTTGTGGTGGATATAGAGCCGTGCATAGGGGGGAGGGAGAAGCCCCTGCCTTCCTTTTCCCCCCTTCTCCATCTCCTCTTTTCTCCTGTCCCGCCGCCATCCCAGGTCGTCCGCTGTACGCCATAGTGCACCGCAACGGGGAGGGCTTCGTGGTGGATATAGAGCCGTGCATAGGAGGGGAGAAGTGGGCAAAGAAGTGGAGGAAGGCGGGAGGAAGGGCGGCGAATGGGAGTGGGGCCAATGGCAAGGTTGGAGGTGCGAGTGTGGCACAGGGAAAGCCAAGTGGCGGCCCTGCGAAGACGCTTGGAAAGGGTGGGGAATTGAGGGATGGAGCAGTGAAGGATGGAGCTATGAATGGGTATGCTGTTCAGGGTACCACCGACCACGAGAGTTATCGGAGGGAAGGGGTTGAAGGGGACGAAAGGGAGGAAGGGGATAGAGCGGAGGGACAGAAACCCAAGGAGCGAAAAGAGGAAGAGAAGGAGGAGGTGGAGGATGCGGAGAAGGAAGCGGAGGAGGAGGAGGAGGAGGAGGAGGAGGAGGAGGAGGAGGAGGAGGAGGAGGAGGAGGAGGAGGGGGAGGAGGAAGAGGAGGAGGAGGAGGAGGAGGAGGTGGATATGTCAATGCTGGACTGGTCTGCTCTTGATAAGCACGAGAGGACGAGCGCGAGCATTGCCAAGCTGCAGGACATAGACGATGACATGCCCCGGCTGTTCAACACACTCGTTCAGGTGAGCTGTTAAGTCAACCCCCCCCACTCGCTCCAAGCTGCAGTATATTGACGATGACATGCCGAGGCTGTTCAAAACACTCGTGCAGGTGAGACCAATTGGGCCCATCCCACCCCCACCCTAGCCCACCCACCCCCCGTTTACCCCCCACGAGTGCCAGCATTGCCAAGCTGCAGGAGATAGACGATGACATGCCCCGGCTGCGCGACACGCTGGTGCAGGTGAGCTGTTAAGTCGATCCCTAACTCAGGTGTGAGCCAACAGTAGAGAGAGCTGCAGTAAGGCTCTGGTGTTGTGAGGCGGCTCACAGCGCAAAGCTTCTGCCTTATAGACGATGCCATTCCCTCCCAGGCTGTGTAATACACTGGGGCAGGTGCGCCACTGGACTTGACCCCCCACCCCCACCCCTCACAGGTGCCAGCATTTTTGAGAATTCTAAAAAATGACTCCACTGTTCCAAGGCTGTGTGTAACACACTGGGGCAGGTGAGCCACTGGACTTGACCCCCCACCCCCCACGGGTGCCAGCATTCCCAAGGCTGTGCGAGCCAACGCACTCGTGCGTGCGTGGTTAAATAGTTTAGTTTTGAGGCGTCTCAAAACTAAACTGCTTAACCATTCCCAAGGCAGTGCGTTTCAACACACGCGTGCGTGCAGGTGAGCCTTCTTTCTTGAGTCAACCCCCCCCCACCCCTCGCCCCCAACGGGTGCCAGCTTTGCCAAGCTGCAGGAGGATGTAGACGATGCCATGCCCAGGCTGTGCTGCACGCTCGTGCAGGTGAGACCTCTTGGCCCCCCACCCGTCAATGCTCCCCTGCACGACCTCTGAGCGCACGCAAGGCTGTTTCGATTAAGTGTTTGAACCAACCAACCAACCAACCAACCAACCAACCAACCAACCAACCAACCAACCAACCAACCAACCAACCAACCAACCAACCAACCAACCAACCAACCAACCAACCAACCAACCAACCAACCAACCAACCAACCAACCAACCAACCAACAATTGCAGCCGTGCAATGTTGTGCAAAGCAGCATTGGCGGGTGTGGGGCCAAGAGATGAGACCAGCATATGGATCCCTGCAGGGGCTCTCTACTGCTTGTGTGACCCACTCGTTCAGGTGAGACCTCTCGACCCCACACCCACCAATGTTGCCTTGCACAGCCCTATCCCCTCCTCCTCTACCCCCCCCCCCCCCCCCTCTCTTGGTGTAGTAATTTCGTTTCGAGACGTCTCAAAACGAGAATTCTCTCCTTCTCTACTCCCCCCCCCCTCTTCCCCCCCCCTCCCCCCCTCTCGCCCCACACTCTTCTGACTCCTTCCGTCTGACTGCTGCAGGAGCTGGGAGAATTGACCGGCTATGACCGGATGCTGCTGTACCGCTTCCATGAAGATTTGCATGATGTCAATCCCTCCCCCCCCCCCACCCCCGCCGCACAACCCTTACCGGCCCCTCCCCCCCTCTCCTCCTCCCTAACCCCCCTTCCCCCCCGCAATCTTCTTTCCCCCTTCCTGCTACAGGAGCTGCGGGAATTGACTGGCTATGACCGCGTGCTGCTGTACCGCTTCCATGAGGACCTGCACGGGGAGGTGAGAGAGTGAGAGAGTGTGGATGAGAGTGTGTGAGAGAGTGAGAGCGAGAGTGTGAGAGAGAGAGTGTGTGGGAAGAAAAGGGGGGGGGGGAGAGTAGGGAGGGGGTGGGGTGCAGGAATCGGCAGGCTATGATTGTGTGCTGCTGCACGAATTCCCTGAGGTCTTGGACGGGGAGGTGAGAGAGCGTGGGCAAGTTAGGAGGGGAGAGGGGGGGCGATGGGTGCTGCTGTACCGATTCCCTGAGGAATTGCTCTGGAGGTGCGTGTGTGTGTGTGTGTGTGTGGGGGGGGGGGGGGGGGGGGCTGTAGAAGGATGGGTAAAGCGAGGGATTTTGGGGGGATTTGGTCCAAACCCTGACTGCCCTCAACCATTCCAGCAACCCCAGCAACCCAGCAATCCAGCAACCCAGCAATCCAGCAACCCAGCAATCCAGCAACCCAGCAACCCAGCAACCCAGCAACCCAGCAACCCAGCAACCCAGCAACCCAGCAACCCAGCAACCCAGCAACCCAGCAACCCAGCAACCCAGCAACCCAGCAACCCAGCAACCCAGCAACCCAGCAACCCAGCAACCCAGCAACCCTGACTGACTGACTGACTGACTGACTGACTGACTGACTGACTGACTGACTGACTGACTGACTGACTGACGGACCGACGGACGGACTGACTGACTGACTGACTGACTGACTGACTGACTGACTGACTGACGGACGGACGGACGGACGGACGGACGGACGGACGGACGGACGGACGGACGGACGGACCGACGGACCGACCGACGGACCGACCGACCGACGGACGGACCGACCGACCGACCGACCGACCGACCGACCGACCGACCGACGGACTGACTGACTGACTGACTGACCTACTGGCTCATTGGCGGATTGACCGACTGACTGACTGACTGACTAACTAACTGACTAACTGACTGGCTGATTGGCTGATTGACTGACTGACTGACTGACTGACTGCCCTCAACCGTCCCAGCAGCCAAACTTAACTCCCTTTTGCCCGCCTCACTTCGCCCCCTCTTCTTCCCCCCTAGGTCGCAGCAAAGGCCAAGTCTGAGAGTCAAGCCTTCCTGACTGCACAACCCCGCCCACTGACCACCAACAGCCATCCCAACAACCCCTCCCCTCCCCTTTCCCCTCGTTTCCCCTCGTTTCCCCTCGTTTCGTTTCCCCTCGTTTCCTCCCCATTCCCCCCCTGGTCCCAGGTGATAGCAGAGGCCAAGTCTATTTTTGAGGCGCCTAAAAAATAGACCCCTTTTTCCTCCCAGCTAGCCCACTGGCCCCAAGTCTGAGAGACAAGCATCACTGCTGGGACCGTCACTGCAGCACTACCCTGGCACCGAATGCCCTCAGCCATCTCTAGAACCCCTCCTTTTCCCCCGGCCTCAGGTGATTGCAGAGGCCAAGTCGGAGAGACAAGCGTCGCTGCTGGGACTGCACTACCCCGCCACCGACTGCCCTCAGGTGATGTGCAGTGATGTGCAGTGATGTGCAGTGATGTGCAGTGATGTGCAGTGATGTGTGGTGATGTGTGGTGATGTGCAGTGATGTGCAGTGATGTGCAGTGATGTGTGGTGATGTGTGGTGATGTGCAGTGATGTGCAGTGATGTGCAGTGATGTGTGGTGATGTGTGGTGATGTGCAGTGATGTGCAGTGATGTGCAGTGATGTGTGGTGATGTGCAGTGATGTGCAGTGATGTGCAGTGATGTGCAGTGATGTGCAGTGATGTGTGGTGATGTGCAGTGATGTGCAGTGATGTGCAGTGATGTGTGGTGATGTGCAGTGATGTGCAGTGATGTGCAGTGATGTGCAGTGATGTGCAGTGATGTGCAGTGATGTGCAGTGATGTGCAGTGATGTGCAGTGATGTGCAGTGATGTGCAGTGATGTGTGGTGATGTGCAGTGATGTGCAGTGATGTGCAGTGATGTGCAGTGATGTGCAGTGATGTGTGGTGATGTGCAGTGATGTGCAGTGATGTGCAGTGATGTGCAGTGATGTGCAGTGATGTGCAGTGATGTGCAGTGATGTGCAGTGATGTGCAGTGATGTGTGGTGATGTGCAGTGATGTGCAGTGATGTGCAGTGATGTGCAGTGATGTGCAGTGATGTGCAGTGATGTGCAGTGATGTGCAGTGATGTGCAGTGATGTGCAGTGATGTGCAGTGATGTGCAGTGATGTGCAGTGATGTGCAGTGATGTGCAGTGATGTGCAGTGATGTGCAGTGATGTGCAGTGATGTGCAGTGATGTGCAGTGATGTGCAGTGATGTGCAGTGATGTGCAGTGATGTGCAGTGATGTGCAGTGATGTGCAGTGATGTGCAGTGATGTGCAGTGATGTGCAGTGATGTGCAGTGATGTGCAGTGATGTGCAGTGATGTGCAGTGATGTGCAGTGATGTGCAGTGATGTGCAGTGATGTGCAGTGATGTGCAGTGATGTGCAGTGATGTGCAGTGATGTGCAGTGATGTGCAGTGATGTGCAGTGATGTGTGGTGATGTGCAGTGATGTGCAGTGATGTGCAGTGATGTGCAGTGATGTGTGGTGATGTGCAGTGATGTGCAGTGATGTGCAGTGATGTGCAGTGATGTGCAGTGATGTGCAGTGATGTGCAGTGATGTGCAGTGATGTGTGGTGATGTGCAGTGATGTGCAGTGATGTGCAGTGATGTGTGGTGATGTGCAGTGATGTGCAGTGATGTGCAGTGATGTGCAGTGATGTGCAGTGATGTGCAGTGATGTGCAGTGATGTGCAGTGATGTGCAGTGATGTGCAGTGATGTGCAGTGATGTGCAGTGATGTGCAGTGATGTGCAGTGATGTGCAGTGATGTGCAGTGATGTGCAGTGATGTGCAGTGATGTGCAGTGATGTGCAGTGATGTGCAGTGATGTGCAGTGATGTGCAGTGATGTGCAGTGATGTGCAGTGATGTGCAGTGATGTGCAGTGATGTGCAGTGATGTGCAGTGATGTGCAGTGATGTGCAGTGATGTGCAGTGATGTGCAGTGATGTGTGGTGATGTGCAGTGATGTGCAGTGATGTGCAGTGATGTGCAGTGATGTGCAGTGATGTGCAGTGATGTGCAGTGATGTGCAGTGATGTGCAGTGATGTGCAGTGATGTGCAGTGATGTGCAGTGATGTGCAGTGATGTGTGGTGATGTGCAGTGATGTGCAGTGATGTGCAGTGATGTGCAGTGATGTGTGGTGATGTGCAGTGATGTGCAGTGATGTGCAGTGATGTGTGGTGATGTATGCTGGGACTGCACTACCCGGCCACTGACTACCCTCAGGTGACGACTGGTGATGTGCGGTTAAGTGTGGTGATGCCTGTGGTAGTCTATGTGACAATGAGAGTAACATCCAGACAGATAGGGGCCAAGTCTGAGAGACTGGCTTCACTGCTAAAATTGCATTATCCCGCAACTGACTGCCCTCAGCTTTTATGAGCCGGTGGCGTGCGGTGATGTGCGGTCGTGTGCGGTGTTGACTGAGTGACTGACTGAGTCCCTGTGAGGCAGTGTAGCTACCTGCCACGCACACACGCACACACGCACACAAGCACACAAGCACACACGCACACAAGCACATCGCACACAAGCACATCGCACACAAGCACATCGCACACAAGCACATCGCACCATTCCATGTCCTTTTCTTAGGCGCCTAAAAAATTGACTCCATACCATATCCAGGTTCTTATTTTTTCAGCACTTCAAAAAGTTTTTCCATTCTCACATTGCCTTTTTTCTTCTCCCTCCTCCCCCCTTCCCCCCTTCCCCCCCCTCCCCCCCTCCCCCCCCCCTTCCCCTCCTCCACACCATACTCCCTTCACCTTTTTATCGCCTCCACCCTCTCTTCTTTATCCCTGCAACTGCATCGCCTTTCATCCCCGTCTGTCCCTCCCTCCCTCACGGGCCGGTCCCACCTGTCTTTCATTTCTCCGAGTGCAGATCAGCCGCACGATGTTTGTGGATGCACGGCTGAGATTGATCGCAGAAGCGGCGGCGCCCGACGTGCATATTATCCAGCACCCCTCCCTTGGCCAGAACATCGACCTCTCCAAGTCAACTCTCAAGGGTGAGTGAAGTCAACGCAAGTCAACGCTCTCAAGGGTGATTCAGCGCAAGTCAACGCCCCCTCTTCTCCTCTACCTCCCCCCAGGCGTGGCCAGCTGTCAAAGGAGTACTGCATCAACATTGGCAGGATAGAGGGCCCTCAGAGCACTGGTCTATGCAAGTCAACGCAAGTCAACGCCCCCTCTTCTCCTTTTCCTCCTTCCCCTCCCCGCAGGCGTGGCCAGCCGTCACAAGGAGTACTGCGACCACGTTGGCAGCAAGAGGGGTCCTCACAGCACTGGTCTATGCAAGCCAATGAAAGCCAATGCAAGCCAATGCAAGCCAATGCAAGCCAATGCAAGCCAATGCAAGCCAAACACACACTTCAATGTACCTCAATAACACCCCCTCTCCTCCCTCTCCGACCAATCAGGCGTGGCAAGCTGTCACAAGGAGTACTGTGCCAACATTGGCATCGGGGGGTCGCTGATCTTGGCCATTGTGGTAACCACCCGCGGCCCTCAGAGCACCAACGTGCGCAAGCTCTGGGGCCTGGTGGTGTGCCACCACATGTCCGAGCGCTTCCTGTCATACCCCCAGCGATACGCCTGCGACTTCCTCGTGCAGGTGGGGGCCTTGCAGCTTCAGGTGTTTCTTCAGGGATCAGGTGTTTGTTCAGGGATCAGGTGTTTGTTCAGGGATCAGGTGTTTGTTCAGATGTTTTGTCAGGTGCTCCCATTCTCTCTCTCCCCCATCCCCTCTCCCCTGCAACTCTTCTATCCAGGCCTTGCAGAGCTAGAGGCATCAGATCAGAGCATGCAGCAGAGTGCCGCATCCCACTCTCCATAACCCACTGCATGCCCTCTCCTCCTCACCCGCCTCCAGCCTTTCGCCCTGCCACTGGCCATGGAGCTAGAGGCGTCGGAGCATGCAGCGGAGCACCTCATCCCTCTCTCCAGCCTAAGCACTCTGCACTCCCTCTTTTCTCCCCCAACCCCATCTCACCCCCCGGGCCTTCACCCTGCAGCTGGCCATGGAGCTAGAGGCGTCGGAGCAGAGCGGCTCACTCCTCGGGACTCTCTACCCTTATACTTCACCACTCTGCACTCCCCCAAACTCCTCCTCACCCGCCTCCAGGCTTTCGCCCTACAGCTGGCCATGGAGATAGAGGCGTCGGAGCATGCAGCGGAGCGGCGCACGATGCAGATGCAGGCGATCCTGTGCGGCATGCTGTCCCGAGACGTGCCCTTGGGGCTGGTGCGGCAGAGCCCCAACATCAAAGACCTGGTAAGGGGGCGAGAGAGGTTGGTCACAGAGAGCATTGGAGCATGCAGGGGTGCAGCGCTGGATGCAGACACAGTGCCCCTCAGTGCCCCTCAGTGCCCCTCAGTGCCCCTCAGTGCCCCTCAGTGCCCCTCCTTGCCCCAACGTCAAGAACACAGAGAGCGGTGGTGAGACTGGACGTAGAGGGGTGGGGAGACTGGACGTAGAGGGGTGGGGAGACTGGACGTAGAGGGGTGGGGAGACTGGACGTAGAGGGGTGGGGAGACTGGACGTAGAGGGGTGGGGAGACTGGACGTAGAGGGGTGGTGAGACTGGACGTAGAGGGCTGGGGAGACTGGACGTAGAGGGGTGGTGAGACTGGACGTAGAGGGGTGGTGAGACTGGACGTAGAGGGGTGGGGAGACTGGACGTAGAGGGGTGGTGAGACTGGACGTAGAGGGGTGGTGAGACTGGACGTAGAGGGGTGGTGAGACTGGACGCAGAGGAGTGGTGGGACTGGACGTAGAGGGGTGGGGAGACTGGACGTAGAGGGGTGGGGAGACTGGACGTAGAGGGGTGGGGAGACTGGACGTAGAGGGGTGGGGAGACTGGACGTAGAGGGGTGGTGAGACTGGACGTAGAGGGGTGATGAGACTGGACGTAGAGGGGTGGGGAGACTGGACGTAGAGGGGTGGGGAAACTGGACGTAGAGGGGTGGGGAGACTGGACGTAGAGGGGTGGGGAGACTGGACGTAGAGGGGTGGGGAGACTGGACATAGAGGAGTGGGGAGACTGGACGTAGAGGGGTGGGGAGACTGGACGTAGAGGGGTGAGGAGACTGGACGTAGAGGGGTGGGGAGACTGGACGTAGAGGGGTGGGGAGACTGGACGTAGAGGGATGGGGAGACTGGACGTAGAGGGGTGGGGAGACTGGACGTAGAGGGGTGGGGAGACTGGACGTAGAGGGGTGGTGAGTACGAATAGTGTAACTTAGCCAGAATTCTACACCCCTCTCTTCGGTGTTCTCCCTTCATTATCCCATTTCCCCCAGGTGCCATCCGACGGGGCAGTCTTGCTGCATGCAGGCAAGGCGTGGTGGGTGGGAGCGTGCCCCTCGGAGGCCGACATCAAGGAGATAGCGAGGTGGCTGCGCCTCAAAGGCACCTCGTTATTGGAACACACCGTCTTCGTCACTCATTCCCTTGAGGACGCTGGCCTCCCTTTTGCCTCTCGCCTCGCCCCTGGGGTCTGTGGGCTGGCTGCTGCCATGGTGTCCAGCCGGGGGGACTTCCTCATGTGGTTCCGATCAGGTAAAGAGGGCTCTGGCTTTAAGAAGGCTCTTGCTTCAAGGGCTACAGTTGTCTGCGGGCTGGCGGCTGCCATGGTGTCCAGCCGGGGGGACTTCCTCACGTGGTTCCGATCAGGTGAGAGGCCTTTTTAAGTGAAAAGGAACCGAGAGTTTATGGGAGCCTCGTTTGAGCTCTGAGCCCCCTATGGGGTTGCCCTTGCTTGTGGCTTTCGCCTCGCCCCTGGGGTCTGTGGGCTGACGGGCGGCTGCCATGGTGTCCAGCCAGCCGGGGGGGACTTCCTCATGTGGTTTCGCTCAGGAGTCTATTTTTGAGGTGGCGTGGCTGGCTAAAAAAAATGGCATGGTTTCGCTCAGGAATTCCTCAAAAATGGTTTCGCTCAGGTGGCGTGGCTGGCTTTCTAAAGTGATAAGGTGAGAGGATTTCGACCGGTTGTGCCTCAAAGACACTTGCTATTGGAACACACCGTCTTTGTCAAAAAAAAATAATTATAAAAAAAATGACTCCACATTTTGTACTTTTTTAGAATTGTCAAAAATGACTCCACTGGAACACACCGTCTTTGTCACTCATTCCATGGAGGACGCTGGCCTCCCCTTTGCCTCCCTTCCCCCTCCCCGCATTTCTTCCTGTTTGCAGGTATAGAGCGGAATATCACGTGGGCGGGGCACAAGGACAGCCACACAGTGAAGGAGGGCGCCACCATGCATCCCCGCAACTCGTTCGCCGCTTACCTGGAAGTGGTGAAGCTGCAGAGCCAGCCGTGGACCGACGCTGAGGTGAGATGCACGCAGGGGAAACTTTTGAGTCGACTCAAAAGTCGCCTCGGTGCAAAGTCACCTCGTTACAAAGTCGCCTCGTTACAAAGTCACCTCGGTGCAGGGGGCAGGATAGGTTGTGGCTTGGTGTGAAAGGGACGGCATCACCCTCTATCCCTGTGACTCGCTTGCTGTGATAAATTGCTGAAAAATCTAACAAAAATCTGCAAACTCTCTCTCCCTAAACACACTCCTCTCCTCAGTAGGAGTCCTCACCCCCTCCCCCCCTCCCCCCCTTCCCTTCCTTCTCCCCTCTCTCTCAGGTGGACGCCATGCAGAGGCTCAGGCTCTGGCTCATAGTGAAGGACTCGTTGCCCCACCCTGAGCCTCGTCCCCCCTTCCGCCCTTGCCATCACTGCACTGTTCCCTCCCCCTGGTTCCTCTTTCCCCCCTCCCTTTCCCCCCTGTCCCTCCCCTCTCTCAGGTGGACGCCATGCAAGGCCTCAGGCTCATAGTGAAGGACTCGCTGCCCCACCCTGAGCCTCAAGACCTGAAGCTGAAGATCCAGGTGGGTACGACTACGAGCCAGGTAAGCGTGGGTACGACTAGGGGCTCATTCTGGTAATGCTCTTGGCGGTGCTGCTTGTTCAGGGGCCAGTGTAGCTCCTGCTCTCAACAGCACCTCTCAAGTGCGGGTATGAGCTGAAGAGCCAGGTGAGTGTGGGTAAGGTTCATACAAGGCTGTTCACATCTCCTGGCATCCCAAGAGCGAGGTTCTGGGCTGCAACTTCTTTACTGCTGCAGTCTCTGCTCTCCCTGCTCTCTCCTCCCCACTTCTCTCCCCTCTCCTCTCACCTCTCCTCTTCCCTCTCATCTCCTCATTTCTCTCTCCTCTTTTCACTCACCCCCACCCGGCCAACTCAACGTCGAGAGGCTGACCATTATCTCAACTGAAAGAAGTCACCTGCTCCCTGGAACACCAGCTCGAGTCCGCCCACACGCCCATCATCTAAGCCATCCATTCTCCCCTCTCCTCTCCCCTCTCCTCCCTCCAAACACCCCAGGCCCAGCTGAACTCCGAGAGGCTGACCATCCAATCGCAAGTCAAGGAGATCACTCGCTCCCAGGAGAACCAGCTCGAGTCCGCCCACAGCCCCATCATCGGCATCACCAGCGACGGCACGGCCACCGAGTGGAACAGCCGTCAGTCAAAGCCACCTCTTTCCCTCCCCCTCTCCCCAGGCGCAACTCAATTCCGAACGACTAACCATCCAGTCTCAACTCAAGGAGGTGGCTCGCTCCCTGGATAACCAGCTCGAGTCCGCCCACACACCCATCATTGGCGTCACCAGCGACGGCACGGTCACCGAGTGGAACAGCCGGGCGGCCCTTATCACCCGCCGCCCAAAGGTTGATGTGCTGGGGGCCAACTTCTTTGCTGCGGTGCTCGCTCCGGAGTCGCACGCACACTTCCTGGCGGCGATGGAGGTGCTGGCTGAAGGGGAGGACGTTCAGCCGTTCGACGTGGCTCTGCTGGCGAGATCTGCTCATTCTGCTGCTGGGGATGGCGCTGGTGGTGGTGCCGGTGCTGCTGGGACAGGGACAGGAGGAGGAGGGGGGTCGGGGGAGTTGGATCGCCTGGTGCATGTGCTGGTGAGCGTGTATGGGCAGCACGACCGCCACGGCAACCTGCTGAGCGTGCGGCTGATGGGGCAAGACATCACAGCGCTCAAAGTGCTGGCAGGCGAGGTGAGAGGGGGGGAGGGTGAGAGGGGAGAGGGGGGGAGAGGGGGGCATGTGGTGGTGAGAGATTGACAGAAAGTCAGACAGAGACACAGACAGAGATATAGACAGAGAGGCAGACAGAGATATAGACAGAGAGACAGACAGAGAGATAGACAGAGAGACAGACAGAGAGACAGACAGAGAGATAGACAGAGAGACAGACGGAGAGACAGACAGCGAGACAGACAGCGAGCTAACAGAGAGATCGAGTGAGGTGGAACGAGCGCAGGAGTCTGGGGGTGGGGGAGAGGTGAGAGGGGGAGAGGAGAGTTGAGCAAAATACCCGCACGGGTCGGGTACCCGGACCCGGATCCGCTTTAAGGGCAGGTCGGGTATCAGGATTCCTGAATATTACCCGGCGGGTCGGATCCGGGTAACCCGGGCGGGTATTCGATATCCGTTACCCGAAACGTTACCCGACACGTCGGGTAGCGGGTACCCGACCCGAAATCAGGTAGCGCGTCTACGCGACGGAACCAGCGCGACATTGGTCGTGCTGGTAGAGAGATTTCAGCAAGTTTTTAGGTTACGTGAGCTGCTTGGTCACATAGAGCATTGTAGAGTGGCAGGGGTTGGATTTCGTAGATCCAGATTTTTTCAGAGCGGTTGAATTGGTGGAAATTGGTTGAAATTCAAATCAATCGAATTTTCCCAATCGAATTTGCAACCCAACCTGAATCCAACCAACCACACAGCACCACATTGGTTGGAGTTCCAATCCAATTGACTCTGGGGGTCAAAGAATCAACCCCCCTAAAACCGCACACAACCCCATCCCAACTAGAAAACCCAACCAACTCCCCACTCAGGCCCCACTCACGCCCCACTCACCACACCAGAACTGTTTAAGATTTGGCGCACCTCATACTCCCTCCTAGACATGGGCAAATGCGATTGCGATTTAAATCGCATCGCATTGGGCGGCGATTTAATTAAATGCGATGCGATTTAAAATCGCATCGCGCGATTTAATTTCTGGAAAAAATAAAATCGCACATCACGTTTTGCGCGCGATGAATATTAAAACCGCATGCGGTATTTAATTAAATCGCGCGATGGGATTTTAAATCGCATCGCGTTTTAAAACAGAATTAAAAAACACCCCAAAAAACCAGAAAAAAACCATGGCTGCCGGGAAATTGAATCACGGGCAGCCGTAAGCTAGAGTGCAAATAACTAGTGTGGTTTCGTAGTGGGTTTCAGAGTGGGTTTTAATGCAACATCGCGCGCAATTTTTAAAAAATCGCATTTAAATCGCGTTTTTTAGAGCGATTTAAATTAAATCGCGCGATATTAATTCATCGCATCGCGCGATGATAAATAAAATTAAAAAAAAAAAAAAAAAAAAAAAAAAACGCAATCGCAAAAACGCTATTAAATGCAATGCGATGCGTTTTTTTTACCCGGACCCGCCACGTGGGTATTAAATTACCCGCCCCCAAATCCCATGTCCGGGTATTGGTGGGCATGTTACCCGACCCGCACCCGCCCCGAAAATACCCGACCCGAAGTTGGGTATAGCAAAACGGGGTCGGGTCGGGTAAAAACCCGATTTTGCTCATGCTCCCGGAGAGGTGAGAGGGTAGAGATATGAGAGGGGGAGAGGTGAGAGAGAAAGAAGGCCATTGTTGTGTATGGGCCTCAAAACCCTTTGCTTGCTCTCCCTCCTTTGCCTTTCCGTTTTCTGCTCCAACACCCCCTCCCTTCCACCCTTCTGCTCCCTTCACTCCCCTCCACGTGTGGGGAGTAAAGGCTGGACCGTGGAAGGGAGGGGGTGTGAAAGGTGCTACAACGCCCCCTCCCTTCCACCCTTCACTCCCCACCTTCCCCTCCACCCTCATTCCCCTGCTAACACCACTCTCCCTCCCCCTCCCCTCCCCCCCTCCCTCCCCCCTCCCCCCTCCCCCTTCCCTCCCCCCCCAACCCACCCACCTCCCGTGCGCCCCTTCTACAGTACAAGATGCCCGAGGCAGAGGCACGGGCCCCCAGCCCCCTCCCCCATTCCCCCCTCCCCCCCCAACCCCCTCCGCCCCCTTTCTCTCATCTACAGTACAAGATGCCCGAGGCAGAGGCACGGGCAGCTGTGGACCAATCAGATCTCTTGGTTTTCACAGTGGACGAGTGCGGGCGGGTGACCGAATGGAATGCTGCCATGGAGCAATGCAGCGGGCTGCCCCGAGAAAAAGTCGTGGGGAGGCGGCTTGTGGGGGAGGTGCTTAGCAGCAACCCCATGCTGCTGATTCCTGATCAGGTGAGAAAAGGTGCTGCTGCTGATTCCTGATAAGTAGAGCATTGTGCTGCTGGTTATTTTTTAGAATTCTTTAATAAAACTCCAGCGCTGCTGGTTCTGAAACAGACCAGGTAAAACGGTGCTGCTGATTCCTGAAAAGTAGACAAACTCGAGCGCTTTTTCACTACCAGACCCGAAAATGACAATTGATCTGGACGAGGAGGCAGGTTCTTATGGGGGAGGTGCTTACTACCAAGCAATCCCATGCGATTTCTGACCTAAGTTGGTACCTTACGTGACTTTAGCCCACGTACACGTAAAGTACGCGTAACTTTACGGGTACGTTACGTTACGCGTACGTTACGTGTACGTCGCCGGGCAGGCCTCAAATTTTTTTTCCCGGGCAAAATTTTCCCCCTAAGAAAACGCGATTTACAACTACTACTAGGCTGTTCAGGGCTAGGCTACGGCTAATGCCTACGCTCCGCACTGATCTACCCCATCAATCTAAGTCGCAACTAAATTCGTTGCGCTGATAGTATACGCGTTCCTCCTAGTCGTAAGATGCTACGTAGTCTAGACTTGATTGTCGCTGGAGTAAGGTTAGCGATTGGCATTCGTCGAGGGAGGAAGGAGAAACACATGTCGAGGGGGGTTGGGTTGGGTTAGGTAGGGGTTGTTCATTGACGGGTTGGATTGCCGGGGCACCAAATTTGACGCGCACCAGCGACGAGATTTCGCGCATGCGGAATTTCGCTAAACAATTTGTGACTTTCGTCGCACCCCACTCGTGATAATCTTCTACTAGAAGATCAGAACCTACAAACGTTTTTACAAAAGTCGGCTTTCCATCCCCCCCATTTTTTTCCCTTGGGCAGCCTAAATTTTTTTAGACTGCCCGTACATTCAGGCCTAAAACCAGAATCGCGTAAACGTACGTAAACGTAAACGTACACGTACGTAAACGTAACGTAAGGAACCAACTTAGTTTCTGACCAGGTGAGGAAAGGTGCTGCTGATTCTGAAACAATTCCCAGAAAGCAATCCAGGGCAGGCAGCAACTCAATGATGTTAACATGCTGCAGCTGGCCTCCCACTCACACGCTTTGCCCAATCCTCCTGCCTGCACCCCTTCCCTGCATCCCCTGCACCCCCTGCATCCCCTGCATCCCCTGCACCCCCTGCACCCCCTGCATCCCCTGCATCCCCTGCATCCCCTGCTCCCCCTGCACCCCCTGCATCCCCTGCATCCCCTGCATCCCCTGCACCCCCTGCACCCCCTGCATCCCCTGCATCCCCTGCATCCCCTGCTCCCCCTGCACCCCCTGCACCCAAACCTCTGCTCCCTCACCAACCATCGCAGGACAACCTGGTGATGTTCGAGATAGCTCTGTGCCAGGCACTAAACGGGCGCGACACGAGGAACCACGAGCTGCAGCTGAAGACGTGGGACGGCAGGCCCATGGACACGCTCCTGCACATCATCAGCAGGTGTGCAGTGCGGTGCAGTGTGGTCTAGTGGGGTGCAGAGTGGTCTGTCGTGGTCTAGTGCGGTTCGGTGTGATGTAGTGTTGTATGCATGGTCCTGTGCGGTGTTGTGCGGTACAATGGGACACGAGGAACCACGAGCTGCAGCTCAAGACGTGGGACAGCAGGCCCATGGACACGCTCCTGCACATCATCAGCAGGTGCAGTACAGTGCAGTGGGGTGCGGTGCTCTGCGGTGCTGTGGGGTGCGTGTTCTGCGGTGCTGTGGGGTGCGGTGCGGTCGTGCTGTGGCTGTGCGTTACAATGTTGTGCTGTGTGGTATAGACACAAAGGACGTGGGACGGCAGGCCCATGGCATGGATGGACACGCTCCTGCTCATCATCAGCAGGAGCAGCACCACTTGCCTCTCGATTGCGCGCCCCCTCTCTCCCATACTCCACCCCGTAACAGGCGGTCCCCCAATGGAGAGCCCCTGGGAGCCACGTGCTTCATGCAGGATGTGATGGAGAGGTGGGCAGCGGAGAGGCGGGCAGTGGAGAGGCGATGCTGTTTGTCATCTTTTCCCCTCCACGTCTGTCTGTCTGTCTGTCTGTCTGTCCGTCCGTCCGTCCGTCCGTCCGTCCGTCCGTCCTTTCAGCAGGTCCTCCACCGGCGAACCAGTAAGCGCAACGGAGAGGCGGGCAGCAGAGAACCGACGATTTGAGCCCCCTCCCTTTGCCCTGACCCCATCCCTGTTCCTCACAGGCGGTCTCCCAACGGAGAGCCGACGGGAGCCACTTGTTTCATGCAGGACGTGGTGGAGAGGCGAGCAGCGGAGAACGCGTCGGCAATGAAGATGGTGGCAGAGGCGGCCAGCCAGGCCAAGACCATGCAGCTGGCGTGCTTGTGCCACGAGGTGGGTGAGATGCGGTTGAGTGCGGTGAAGAGGTATGGTATGCGGTAAAAGGGGTTGCTAATTGCTTTGAGAACGCGCTGGCAATGAAGATGGTTGCGGAGGTGGCCAGCTAGGCCAACCAAGACCATGCAGCTGGCTTTCTTGCGCCACGAGGTACGAAGGGGTTGAGCTGGGTGAACTGTGGTGAAAGAAGGGGTTGAATGCGGTGCAAGGGCGGGCTGATTGGGTGAAACAGGGAAGTGAGATTAGCAGTGGAGAAGGCTTTGGCAATGAGGATGGTTGCAGTGGCAGCGAGTCAGCCGAAAACCAAAAAGCTGGCATGCCTTTGCCACGAGGTGCGGGGGGGTTGAGTGCGGTTGAAGGGGTGTACTTCTCACGTCTTCCCCACCAGATCTGCAACCCCCTCAACGGCATCCTGTGGTCCATCAGCTTCATGGAGGGCACGGAGATGTGGTGCATGCCACCCCAGTGAACCCTTATCCACTCCTCTAAACCCCTTCCTGCCCCCACCAGATCTGCACCGCAACCCCCTCAACGGCATCCTGTCGTCCATCAGCTTCATGGGGGAAGCAAGGAGATGTGGTGCACGCCACCCCAGTGAACCCTTATCCACTCCTCTAAACCCCTTCCTGCCCCCACCAGATCCGCAACCCCCTCAACGGCATCCTGTCGTCCATCAGCTTTATGGAGGGCACGGAGATGTCGTCCGACCAGAGAGACCTGCTGCTCGCCACCTCTGCTTGCGGGTGAGACAAGGGGTGCTTGCAGGTCGTAAGGGGTATCCTGCTGGAAGCATAGGCATGTCGTGGCAGGTGAGTCTGTGCCCTAATGGAGGGCACGGAGATGTCGTCCGACCAGAGGGACCTGCTACTTGCCACCTCTGCGTGCACGTGAGACCATGCTGCTAGTTGCTGTCGTTGATGCTGCTGCTGCTGGTGATGTTGCTGATGTGGCTGATAATGCTGCTGCTGTCTGCAGGTGCGTCTGTGCCTGGAGGGCACCGAGGTGTCTGCAGATCAAAGGAACCCGCTGCTCGCCACCTCTGCCTCCTCTGCTCACCCCTCTTCACCCCTCTTCACCCCTCTTCACCTCTCTTCACCCATCTCCGCTTCTATTTGTCTGTACAGGAAATACCTGAGGCGTGTGGTGGACAACGTGTTGGATCTCAGCAATCTAGAGGAGGGCAAGCTGGAGAGAGAAAGCTGTCGCACCTCCCTGCATCCCGCGTCACCTCTCTTCACCTCTCTTCACCTCTCTTCACCTCTCTTCACCTCTCTTCACCTGTACTTTTCAGGAAATACCTGCGGCGTGTGGTGGACAACGTACTGGATCTCAGCAAGCTAGAGGAGGGCAAGCTGGAGGTGGAGAGCGAGCCCTTCGAGCTAATACACGTGGTCGATGCCGTAATAGCACAGGTGGGTGGGTGGGTTTGGTTTTGAGGCGCCTCAAAACAAGCTGGAGGTGGAGGGCAAACCCTTCGAGCTCATACACGTGGTCGATGCCGTAATAGCACAGGTGGGTGGGTGGGTTTGGTTTTGAGGCGTCTCAAAACAAGCTGGAGGTGGAGGGCAAACCCTTCGAGCTCATACACGTGGTCGATGCCGTAATAGCACAGGTGGGTGGGTGGGCTTGGTTTTGAGGCGTCTCAAAACAAGCTGGAGGTGGAGGGCAAACCCTTCGAGCTCATACACGTGGTCGATGCCGTAATAGCACAGGTGGGTGGGTGGGTTTGGTTTTGAGGCGTCTCAAAACAAGCTGGAGGTGGAGGGCAAACCCTTCGAGCTCATACACGTGGTCGATGCCGTAATAGCACAGGTGGGTGGGTGGGTTTGGTTTTGAGGCGTCTCAAAACAAGCTGGAGGTGGAGGGCAAACCCTTCGAGCTCATACACGTGGTCGATGCCGTAATAGCACAGGTGGGTGGGTGGGCTTGGTTTTGAGGCGTCTCAAAACAAGCTGGAGGTGGAGGGCAAACCCTTCGAGCTCATACACGTGGTCGATGCCGTAATAGCACAGGTGGGTGGGTGGGTTTGGTTTTGAGGCGTCTCAAAACAAGCTGGAGGTGGAGGGCAAACCCTTCGAGCTAATACACGTGGTCGATGCCGTAATAGCACAGGTGGGTGGGTGGGTTTGGTTTTGAGGCGCCTCAAAACAAGCTGGAGGTGGAGGGCAAACCCTTCGAGCTCATACACGTGGTCGATGCCGTAATAGCACAGGTGGGTGGGTGGGTTTGGTTTTGAGGCGTCTCAAAACAAGCTGGAGGTGGAGGGCAAACCCTTCGAGCTCATACACGTGGTCGATGCCGTAATAGCACAGGTGGGTGGGTGGGCTTGGTTTTGAGGCGTCTCAAAACAAGCTGGAGGTGGAGGGCAAACCCTTCGAGCTCATACACGTGGTCGATGCCGTAATAGCACAGGTGGGTGGGTGGGTTTGGTTTTGAGGCGTCTCAAAACAAGCTGGAGGTGGAGGGCAAACCCTTCGAGCTCATACACGTGGTCGATGCCGTAATAGCACAGGTGGGTGGGTGGGTTTGGTTTTGAGGCGTCTCAAAACAAGCTGGAGGTGGAGGGCAAACCCTTCGAGCTCATACACGTGGTCGATGCCGTAATAGCACAGGTGGGTGGGTGGGTTTGGTTTTGAGGCGCCTCAAAACAAGTTGGAGGTGGAGATCGGACCCTTCGAGCTCATACACGTGGTCGACGCCGTAATAGCACAGGTGGGTGGGTGGGCGGGCAGGCGGGACGGCACTGCATGGCACAGGACAGGCCTCAGCAAGGTAGAGGAGGGCAAGCTGGAAGTGTGCTAGTGTGATGGTAAAGGGCGACAAGCACCGCGTGCACCAGATAGTCGCAAACTTCTCTCTCCCTCTTTGTGCTACCCTCCCTCCCCTACCCGCCTTGCCTGTTCCCCTCCCCCTGTTCCCCTCCCCCTGTTCCCCTCCCCCTGTTCCCCTCCCCCTGTTCCCCTCCCCCTGTTCCCCTCTGCTCCCCTGCCCCTGGTGTTCTCCCCCCTCCCACCTTCTCCCCCACCCCCCGATGACCCCCTCCGCTCAACCCCAGGAGCACGAGAATGCTGGGGACAAGGGCTTACAGGTGTTCTGCTCCGTCGTCGACTCGCGGTGCGCCAATGTGATTGTAAAGGGCGACAAGCACCGCGTGCAGCAGATAGTTGCAAACTTTTCTTTCTCTTTGTCCTACCCTCCCCTCCCCTCCTTCCCTGTTCCCCTTGCCTGTTTCCCCACTCTGGTCTCCCCTCCCTTTTCCCCAGGAGCACGAGAATGCTGGGGACAAGGGCTTACAGGTATTTTGCTCCGTCGACTCGCGGTGCGCCGATGCGATTGTAAAGGGCGACAAGCACCGCGTGCAGCAGATAGTCGCAAATTTCTTCCGAAACGCCGTGGAGTATACAGAGCGAGGGTGGGTGGAGGTACAGCTCTATAAAGGGGGTAACGAGGCGCCTTGTAACGAGTACAGCGGGAAAGCAGGGGGGTACGGTGATGGAGGGGTTCTTGCAGGGAGGCTGGTGCACGGGCAGCCGACCAGGCAGCCGACCGGGCAGCACCGAAACCTTCCGGGAGACCCGGAGGAGGAGATGTTTCCATTTGTGCTGTGTGTGGCGGATTCGGGCCCGGGATTGAGTGAGGAGCAGCAGCGCAACGTGTTTACTGGCATGGACTCCAGTCTGGACAGCGGACCCGCCCTCTCCAGAGCTGCTTCTGACGCTGAGTCACGGTGAGCCCTGTCGCATGTTACGGTGTTTGTGCTGAGTGTGGCCGACTCAGGCCTGGGGTTGAGTGAGGAACAGCAGCAGAACGCGTTTACAGGGCTGGCTGGACCCCGGACTGGGCGGCGGACCCCCCATCTCCAGAGCTGCTTCTGATGCTGAGTCACGGTGAGCCCCGTCGCATGTTGCGGTGTTGTGCTGTGCTGTTTTACCTGGGGTGGTCTGTTGCATTGCCGGGGTTGAGTGAGGAGCAGCAGAGCAGCATGTTAACTGGGCTGGACCCCAGTTTGGACAACTGACCCCCCATCTCCAGCGCTGCTTCTGACACTGAGTCGCGGTGAGCCTTGATTTGAGTTGTGCTCTGCTGTGTTTCCTGCTGGGCCTGCCTGCTGTTCTACCTAGCTGTGTTGTTGGGTTGAGTAAGGACCAATCGAGGAGCAGCAGCGCAACATGTTTACTGAGCTGGATCCCAGTCTAGGCGGCGGCCCCTCCAGTGCCTGCCATGCGCTGCTTCTGACAGGCACTGGAGCGCATGTCAGGCACTGGAGCGCATGGCAGGCACTGGAGCGCATGGCCGGCACTGGAGCGCATGGCAGGCACTGGAGCGCATGGCAGGCACTGGAGCGCATGGCAGGCACTGGAGCCTGCCCTCTAGGAGTTCCTGACTCGCTTTCTCAAGGCTCCTTCTTCCCCATCTAATCTCCTTCACCCTCCCCTTCCTCTCCCCCCATAACAGCTCCTCTGTCTCGGCAGGGTCGGGCCTTGGCCTCATAGTCAGTCAGAAGCTAGCTTCCTTTATGAGCGGCTTGGTGTCCTGCGACTCTGCCCCCTCCCAAGGCTCCTCTAATTGCCTTGTTCCTCTCCTTTCCTCCCCGTCCTCATCCAACAGCTCCTCTGTCCCGGCAGGGTCGGGCCTAGGCCTTATAGTCAGCCAGAAGCTAGCATCTCTCATGAGCGGCTCGGTCTCCTGCGACTCTGCCCCCTCCCAAGGCTCCTCCTTCCGCCTCTCCCTCTCGCTCCCCTTTGCCGGCCGTTCCACCCACGCTGACTCTGCTGATGCTGCTGCTGACGTGGCAGCGGGCCATGCCAGCCTGGCGCCAGGTGGCATGATGAGCTGTTATTTGAGCAACAGGGTGAAAGGGGTTGTGTATACGTCGGTGGGGGTGTGGAGCAGTGCTGAGGAGTTAGCAGCTGCACCAGTTGTACCTCCCTCTCTCTCTCGTAGCCTCACTGCCCCTCAGCCTGCAACTGCTGCTGGTGCTGCTGGTGCTAATAGTGTAGCTGGTGTTACTGGGAGGGTGCAGGCTGGTATAGGTGCACCCGGAGCAGGCTTATCTGGAGCAGGCTTATCTGCAGCAGCAGCACAGGTGACCTCTGGAATGGCAGGCATGGCTCTTACCGGTGCGCACTCACATGGTCGTTCCGCTGGGGGAACTGCTGGTGGTGCAGCCGCTGTGGCTCCTGGTGCAATTCCAAGGGGTGAGCCTTCTAGAGCAGTGAACGGTTACAGTGGTGACGATGCACGCACCAGCACTGCTTTCGGCAGCTCGACCGCCTATTATGATGACTCTCTCACCTCTTCTGCTGCTGCTGTTTCTGGGTCTGTCCATTCTGCTCCACGTGCTGCTGCTGGTGCTGCTGCTGGTCCAAGCACTAATGCCACTGCGTCAGCACTACCAGAGGTAGATGGAGAGCGAGCAGGACGAGGGGGCGGAGGAGAAAACATCCGGGTGTTCTCGAGGTTGGAGAGTCATGGATCAGAAGAGGGATCGCTGCATGCTGCTGTGGAGGAGGCTGAAGTGGACGCTGCTGCGCTGGCAGCGATTGCTGAGCTGGAGGCAGCGTATGGTGGCAGGGTGATGGTGCAAGTCTTGAGAGAGGTGGTGGACTTCCGGGAAGTTGCGGTTCTGGTGGAAGTGGGTGTGACAAAGGAAATGGCTGACAATATGGGGATGCAGAACAGTGATGTGACTATAGTGAGTACTCAGCAGTGGGGTTCGGCTCTAAGGCTTGGTCCACTAGCCGATGCATTGCGTAGTGCTACAAAGGCGGCGGTTGTAGCGGCCAACCGGACTCTTGTGGCAGCACAGGCTCGAGGTGGAGGCGTGCACCGTCAAGTGGTGTGCTAAGGACACTGAAATGTGCAATATGTATAGACTAGGCGTTATTTTAATCAGATGTCTCTTTGTCGTTGTGCATTTACTTCGAAAGCACTTTCAGATTGATGTACCTTCTTCTTTTTGAGTTATCTACTGACGCGGACTATTTCTGTCACTTCACATTGACGTGTCAGACGATGCATAGCCTTTTGCCACGTGGTCCGCGGACCCTACCCATCATTACTGTAACCACGACACTGGACTCCCCCAAAAGCCCCGCTCTTTGAGTCTAATCATCCTCGAGAGTTGCCGCACGCGGTGTCCGCAACACCAATCAGATCAGCCCACACCTCCTCCCCCTCCCCCCCTCCCCCCTTCCCTTTCCCCTCCCCTTCTCCCTCCCAGTCACCCCCTTTTCCGAATTTTCCCCATTTCTTCCGCCATAACAGCTCCGCCCGCCTGTTATTCCCCGTCCCCCCCGACGAGCCTGCTATCCCCGCAAACCCGCCTAAGGGGTTTTGGCTCCCTCGACTCACCGCTTACCTAGTTATTTTTGCTGCTTGCCCAGCGTCATTCTGCCTGACGAGCGTTTCTCCTCCGTAATATTCGCCGCATCTGTCGGTGACGTTCTTCGCCATGGCTGCCATGGCGACCTTGCTTCCCGCGCTTAGCTCCGCCGCGGTTTCCGCCAGCTTCTCCGCCGTCTCGTCGCGGAGCAAGAGCCTCGCCTGTGAGTACCGTAGGTTTCAGGCTCGTTGAGCTACATAACTAAGAGCAACATTCAGCTATACTAGCAGACGGCACACGGCACACGGCTGCCCATGATCTTCTCACCATCTGAGTCGTACGATTTCTCCCTTCGCTGTATTATGGCTGTCAGCAGGAGTTCGTCTAAAACGGCATTTCCTGGGAAGTTCAGGCTGAGGGTAGGTCTTTGCGGAGCCTGAAGGCAGCCTTTCTGCCTATATCCTGGACGACGCTAGGTCTGGTTCGAGGCATTGTAGCCGACCTCACGCATTCGAGGCATCGTAGCTTACTGAACCTTAGCTTACGGCACCACACCACACCTCACCGATGCTTATCTCGCCGAAGCGTACCGAATGTAGCTGTCTGGTGTGAGAAGAAGTGGGGAAATACGGGGATCCTCCGAGCGTGAGCTTGGACCTGGGTCCCTTGTGAGTCGACTCAAAAGTCTCCTCCGAGCGTGAGCTTGGAACTGGGTCCCCATCTTTTCCATTTCTTAGTGATGACCTGGGTCCGCTGGCGTGAGCTTTTTTTAAGGCTGCACAAGATGCAATTTTGAGAAATGGCCATTCTCGACCGTACGAAAACAAAAATGCTTGCGACGGAAACCGGGAGAAGTGGAGTGGAACCAGTAATGATAACCCCATCTCGGAGGGAGGTATCGCAAGCCTGGTCCAACCTGAGATGTGTGCTGATGAGCGTCCGTGCCGTATTGGGTTCTATCTCGGGGCTTCGCAGACGCGGTGCAGATGAGTGCACTGTAGAGTTGACTCAAGTGCAGACGATTAAAGACGTTGAAGCGTTATTAGTTGAAGCAACTGGGTCGTGCCGAGCTAGGCTCTTCCTCTGCAGCGCTGCTGCTCCCCTCGTTCCCTCGTCGCTGCTCTTACTCTGGCCTCCCTCGCCACTGTGACCTTTCTGTTCCCCCGCCTCTCTTTCATGCTTCCGCGACTTTTCGCAAAGAGGAAATCGTGTCCTTGACTCGTCTAGTTTGCTCGTCGAAACTGTCCATTGAGGCGCCTCAATGAATCGGGTCTTGAGCTCGTTAAGCGCGCTCATCTAATTCGTTCTAATTCGCCGGTTGGTTCGCTCTGGTTCGCTCGTTTGGGTCGCTCATCTGGCTCCTCCGCTTCCTTCGTCTCGTGACATTAATCTCAGAAGGAAGCACCCGTCCTGTCCCGTTTTTTCAACCACCCTTCCCATTCCTCTGCCTTCCCCTTTTATTTCACCACGCGTCCTTTCTCTCCTTCCCCTCTAAACCACGCCCTCTTTCTGCCTCCCGGCTCCCGTCCTCCCATAACTCAGTTATCCAAAGTCTTTGTACCCGACTCCCTCCCTGTTTTTTTTAGAATCTGGCCTCCCAGCCTGGCATTTCCTTCCTCGCTCGCTCCGCATTCCCTCCCTCTCTCGTCCCGCTTTTCCATCCACGTGTTTTCCCCCCTTGCCCTCTCTTGTGCTACTACCCGGGCGTCTCCGTTCTTAAATTCTCACCTTTCTTCTCCCTTCACGCCCTGCCTTTCTTCTCTCCCACTCCTCCCTTCCCTCCCCACTTCCTCCTTTCTTCCCCCCCCTCTCCCACTTGTCTCCCCCCCCCCCTCCTCCCCTCCTCCCCTCCTCCCTCACCCAGGCGAGCCCCTCACTTTCTCGATGCGCACCCTCCGCCTCGCCGTCCCCCAAGCCACCACTGCCCCACTGGTCGAGCTGGCAGCTGACGTGGCGGAGGCCACGTCAGCAGTGGAGGATCTGCCGCTACAGTCAGCAGAGGACATCAAGGCGGCGCGGAAGGAAGAGCAGCGGCGCAAGCGATTGGTGCAGAAGAGGAAGCTGAGGAAGAAGGGCAGATGGCCCCCTTCCAAGATGAAGCAGCACCAGAATGTGTAGAAGGCGGATTTGAATTAATGCTATGCTCTCACCAAATGTTGACTGTATCTGTATACATGAGACTTGCAATGGAGGCGTGTCTCAGCAGTAGGTTACAGTTTTGTGCAATGTGCACCTACGAGCGGAGGTGCAAGCGGTTAGTGCAGGAGAGGAAGCTCGGGGAGAAGGGCAGGTGATGTCATTTCAAGATGGAGCAGCACCAGAATGTGTAACACCGGGTTGTGTGAACGCGGGAAATGGTTGCTTCTATGGATAGCATGTCAAGCTGCAATGTGTTATACATGCATGTTGACGAAGACTGTAAAGAAAGCAGGAAATTGCCATCGACAGTGGCACGTAGGTACATTAGAGAAGAGAAAGCTGAGGAAATAGAGGAAGAAGGGTAGATCTATGACAAACCACAACAAATTGGGACATGAAACATGAACACTACCCAATTATTGTGAATCCCACGGTTTGCATAGAACTCTTAGAACTGAGTGGAATGATTGACTAGAGTACCTGGATACAAGCATACATATCTAAGGGTTGTACTCTCTAAGAGGTGACCCTATACAGTCTGTACTGTTCAAATTATATAAGTTATAATTTAATATAGGCTTGGTAGGTTGTTACTGAACCTTTCTGTAGGGGGTACAAACCCCTCCTTGTACTCCCCTCTCTTCTAATCCAACTCTCTTTTCTCTCCTCAACTTTCCTAGCACCTAAAACCTCTCGCCATTCTCATGGCTCCTCCTAGCTCCTAGCTAAACCTTGTGCCATTCTATGGCTTCCTAGCTAAGCTGGTCTTTTGACATGGTATTAGAGCAGTTCGTTCCGTGTGGGCCTGCTCCTCGCGTTTCCGCTGCGTGCTCGTTTCTCTCTCTATCTCGCGCTGCCATGGCGGCCGCGTCAAGCTGCTGTGGCCGCGTCGTCGTGCCGCGGCGCCGCCGTCGACGTCCATGGCGCCCGCGTCCAGCTGCTGTGGCCGCGCCGTCGTGCCGCAGCTCCGCCGTCGCGTCAAGATGCTGTCGCGACGTGACGACGCCGTCACGCTGCCGCGGCGTCTACGCGACAGCGCGCGGTCGGCGTAACGGCGACGTCGTGCTGCCGTCGCAACGTCGACGCCCCGCTGCGGCATCGACGCCGCTCCATGATGGCGTCGTCGGGCTGCAGCCGGCCGCGTGACGCTTGTGGCGCCGCTAGACCGGCCGCCCGCATGTCAGCCTGTGGCGCCCCCCCCCCCCCCCAGCCCCCTCCTTCCCCTGTGCCCTCTTCCATTCCGCAGACGACGGCTGACTCCCGCCGGCCGTCCCACCGTCGCGGGGCCTGGCCACGTCACCGAGAGGTGCGGGTGCCGCCGCCGCTGCCGCTGTTGTCGAAGCCGCCGCCGCCGCCGCTGTCGCCGCTTGCGTCGGGGCCACGCAGCCGCACGCCGCCGCCGCCGCCGCTGTCGACACTGCCGCCGCTGCTGCCGTCGCCGCCGCAGCCCCTGCGGTCGACGTCGCCGCCTCACGCACCGTGGGTCGACCGACCTAGAGTCGCTGTCACTGTGGCTGGAATGGGGGTGCTAGGTTAGGGGGTGTGGGTGTGTGTGGGCATGTGACTACCAAGCCTAGGGGGTGTGTTCAAATTATATAAGTTATAATTTAATATAGGCTTGGTAGGTTGTTACTGAACCTTTCTGTAGGGGGTACAAACCCCTCCTTGTACTCCCCTCTCTTCTAATCCAACTCTCTTTTCTCTCCTCAACTTTCCTAGCACCTAAAACCTCTCGCCATTCTCATGGCTCCTCCTAGCTCCTAGCTAAACCTTGTGCCATTCTATGGCTTCCTAGCTAAGCTGGTCTTTTGACATGTACGACCACTAGATATACTAATGTTTAACACTAGATATGCCCCTAGACTACATAGGGGCAGTTCCTGAACAAGCAGCACAGGGCGGCACTACTAGTCCAGCCACTGAGCAAGGGTCTAAAGACCAGTCAACAGGCAAGACAAGAACAAGACCAGGGCGGCACTACTAGTCCAGCCACAGGGAGAGGACACAAGTCCAATCTGAGTTAATATATATATAAAGGACAATACAAAGTCAAGGCCCTACCAAGTGAGAGACTATAGGAACTAGACCAAGCTGTACACAGTGCCGCTGATAATCTTTAGGCGCAAGCGCCTTCGTAAAGATATCAGCTGTGTTGGCACCTGATGCCAAGTGTACTACGCGAGCCAGGCGGAGCTGCTGTAGCTCTCGCGGGAGGAAGTACCGCAGCTGGATATGCTTCGCTCTGCCCTCGAGTCGAGGCTCCTGACACAGGAGGATCATGGCCCTGTTGTCAGCGTACACGAACGGGGCAGAGCTAGGCCGCTCACCTAAGTCAGTGAGCAAGGTCAGCCAGCGGAGCTCCTGTGCCGCCATGGCACCAGCGTAGATCTCGGCCTCACAGCTGGACTGGGCAACAGACGAGGAGCGGGTAGCTCTCCACGAGACGGCACGTGAACCAAGGCTGAAGCAGTAGCCCTGGGAAGACCTGAGTGTCTCGTCGTCGTCTGCCCAAGAAGCGTCTGTGTGTCCAGTAAGGACCACTGACCTGCGTCCTCCTAGCACTAACCCCATGCCCGATGTACTTGCAAGATAACGCAAAACCCTCTTAGCGGCAGACCAGTGCTGCGGTCGGTGCCTGCCCGTGGCCACAAAGCGAGCCAGGATGCTGAGAGGGTATGCTAGATCTGGGCGGGTGCAAGTCATCAGGTACATGAGGCAACCCACCAGCTCAGCGTAAGGACCACTGGGCTCTACTGACTCCTCAGGAACTGGAGCGGAGAGTCTGTGGTCTACAGGCAGAGGGGTGGGCTGTGCAGAGGAGAACTGAAGGCCGAACCTCTGAAGGACCTGGCGCACCAAGTGTGACTGAGTCAAACTGATGGTGCACGCTGCTCTGTCCCTGGAGATCTGCAAGCCAAGGTAACGGCGCAGTTCTCCAAGGTCAGTGCAAGTGTGTCTCTTCAGCAGCTCTGCCTTCACGGAGGCCAGTGCGTCCCTGTCTGCTGTGGCAAAGACCAGGTCGTCCACGTAAACAATGATGTAGAACGGAGTCTGGCCAGTACGAACGAAGAGTGAGGAGTCTGCAGAGGAGGGAAAGAACTGCAGGTCAGCAAGGGTAGCACGCAGCGTGTCGTGCCACTCACGGGGAGCCTGCCGCAAGCCGTAGACCGGACGCCGCAGAAGCCACTGGGTCCCAGGAGGGAAGGTGCCAGTAAAGCCCTGAAGCCACCCCCTCACGCTGACTGAAGCCTCTAGCCACGTAGCGCACCTTGAACACAGGCGGCTCTCCAGGAGGGCGCTTCACCTTGAAGAGCCAGCGGCCATCGACTACGTTCACCCCAGGCGGGGGAACTGCGTCGACGAAGGTGCCGGTGGATCTCCAAGATGCCATCTCCTGCTCCATGGCAGCTATCCACTGAGAGGCCCAGGGTCCCGAGGTCCCCTCAGCGTAAGTGCAAGGGGTCGGGATGTCGAAAGCGTCTGGGTCACCCTCAGGGACTAGCAGCATAGAACAGAGATGGGGAGCAGCCTCGGACTGGAAAGCAAGCCCGAATTGGTGGTCCTCCAGGACGTCACTGCCGAGAGCAAGAGCACCCCCGACAGACGGAGGACTGGCAGGGTCAGAGACCAGAGCGGTAGCGTAGTCAAGGCAACGGGTAGAGGCGAAGTCAGCGACCGCAGCGACAAGAGCGTCAAGACACGAGACCGGAACAGACGGGTCGGTAACGAGAGAAGCGAGGACCCGAGGAACAAGAGGACGAGCGGCACGAAGGTAGTCCGACAGAGGAGGAGGCGCAACGGTAAGAGAGGACTGAGGAGGCGACGGTAGAAGGGGAGGACGAGACGCGTGGGAACAGAGCAACATAGGGTGAGAGCGCGTGACAGGGGAGACAGGACGAGCGCGGGAGGGACGGTGGGACCAGACATGAGACGGAGGAGTCGGGTCAGGAGACAGAGGAGGGGACACAAGGGGGGAGCGAGGGGGAAGACGAGCCGGGGACGAGTCCGGCGGAGGGAACACAGGGCCGTAGACAGGAAGAGGAGGAGACGGCAGGAGAGGACCGGACGCAGGGTCAGGGGACGGAAGGCCGAGCAGGCGAAGGACGGACACCGGCGAATACTGCTGCTGCGGTGGCACAAAGCCAACACCGGGACCACAAGCTGCTCCTCGGCTACCTCCGGGACACTCCACTCCGGCACCCCTAAAAGGAACACCCCCAGAGCCTGAAACCCCCCGAGCACCAGTACCACCCCCAGGGCCACCGGGGCAGGCCACAACAGGAACCCTATAGCTAGCACCCCCCCCAACGCGCACACCCCCAGGGTCAACGAACAGCGGCTGCGACGGCGGCTGCGGCGGCGGCGGCGGCGGGAACGACGGCTGCGACAGCAGGGGCGACGGGGGCTGCAGAGGCTGTGGGGGGGGAGCCACCGGGGGAGGGGCAGACGGCAAGGACTGCGCCGCAGGACCACCAGAGTCAGAGGACTCCTCGACCGGGACAACTGACGGGAGAGGGGTGACGTGGGACACACCAGAAGGGGCAGGACGGGGAGGTGGAGGGGGGGGGGCAGGGACCATTGAGGAAGGAGTGGCCATGAATAGGGGGGGAGTAACCGGGAGACCGCGATGGGGGAAGCGACGGTAGAAGGAGACGTACTCATCAAAGGTGACGTCGCGAGAGTGAAAGAAGCGGTGAGACGGCGGGTGGTAGAAGTGCCAGTCGGACGCGTCAATGGGGAAACCTAGGAAGATGCAAGGAAGGGTGCGGGCAGTGAGCTTATCCGTGCCAGAGGCACGAACATGAGCGAGGCAGCCCCAGACGTGGAACGCAGACGCTTCACGGCTACAGAAAATGGGGTGCACCGGCATGGATCATAAAGGTGCGAGCCACCTCCATGACCAAACCGATGCGTCGCTCAGCAACCCCATTCTTTTGCGGAGACTCCGGCAGAGTGAACGTCTGGGTGATGCCCTCCGCACGACAGAAGCGACCAAGGACACCTGAGGCAAACTCGCCACCACGGTCGGAGTGAAGACGCAAGACAGGGAGACCTCGGTGGACACAGGCAGAGACAAGCCAGGGGATGAGAGCGTCAGGCACGTCGGCCTTGCGCTCCAGGGGAAAGACTGTGGTGTAGCGAGTGAATTCGTCGACAAGCACGAGGAAGTAGCGCTCTCGACGCGGCCCATGGACGGGGTCAGGGCCCTAGACGTCCATGTGCAGGGTCTGCAGCGGCGCGGCGGTAGGGGGAAACGAGGAAGAGTGAGGGGCACGGCGAAGCCGACCCTCGACACAAGGCG